GGTGGCTTGAATGCACGACCGAGCTGTTGGCGCCTCTGGTACCGCTCGTGATCTTTTGTCATTCCAAAGTCCCGCGCCCGGCTCCCGGCTCACGACCGGCTCCCGACCGGCTCCCAGTCTGCTAGCGTTTTCACAACCCCGAGCTCGATTGATGAGTCCAAATTTTTTTTTCATCTTCGTGTTTTTTATTTAAATTTGATCCATTTTTTTTTACTTCCTGTGGGAACTGGGGGAGTCGCACGGCGTTGTAGTCGTATCGGGGCGGTCATCGTATCGATACGACATAATCGATATACACCAAGGTGTCATGTCACAGCGCCACGAGCTCATGGAGTCGTTTGATGAATTTATTTATAGGTTCTTTCTTCCGCGCTTGGTAGCGCATTCAAACAAACGTGCGCAAAAACTGTGGTTCGGTCTGCACGATTGAACAAAAGTATTTCAACTTAACATGTATAGAAAAAGGTATTTTGACCTACATGTTAGGAAACAGTATTTTGACCTAAATTTTAGTTAGAAAACGAAAAAAATTGTATTTTGACCTACATTTAGTTAGAAAACGGTATTTTGGCCTACAATTGAGAAATCATTTTTTTTCAAGCAATATTTTAGTTAGAAAGCGGTGTTTTTTACCTACATTTTAAAAAACAGTATTTCGACCTACCAGTTTAGAAAGCAGTATTTCAACCTACAATTTTGTTAGAAAACGGTATTTTAGCGAACATTTTAGAAATCATTTTTTCAAACAACATTTTAGTTATTTTAGTTTGAAAGCGGTATTTTTTACCTATATTTTAAAAAACGATATTTCGACCTACATTTTTGAAAATGGTATTGAGACCCACATTTTAGCAAACGGGGTTTCAACTTTCAAGACTAGACCGCTGTCTCCTCATCTAAAGTAAGCTCTCCCCCCCCCCCCCCACACACACACACAATTTTGATCTTTGTCTACTATTCATCACTCTTTCTACCTGGTTTGGTGTTATTTAGCAAGTTGCTCTTGAAAAAAAACTTGAAAAAGAACACTACAGCATCATGTAAAACAAGTTAATTAAAAAGTCTAGTGACATTTAAGCGCAATTTCCTTATGTTATCTAAAAATAGCTCTGTCGTAGCGTAAATCAAGAGCAGGGTTAGTAAAACCATTGGTTAGTTAAATTAAAACGTTTTTTATTAAAAAAAACTAGTCATCGATATTGCTTCGTTGAGGAGGAGATACGACTTAAAGCCCGGACACACATTCAAACATCCATACATTCATTCATTCATCCATCCATTCCCAGAAATGACGAGTTAATAAACGCAATTCTCCAGAATGGAAATTGCGCTAAAAATTCAGTATTTTACATGTTTTATTTACATTAGAGTTACATGACTAAAAACCATTGCGCGCCTAGCTACCGAACGTGATGGCGCAGCCATTGAACGTGATGGCGCAGCTATTGAACGTGATGACGCGTGTGGTGTGGTTGGACAAAAATGCCTACTAATTCGGTCCAAATTTTAATTAATTCAAAAAAAAATTTGTGACCGAACTAAAGGATATTTTTGAAACCTTTCTTCGGCAATATTGTTCTAAATTATGGCAGGAATCGATTGGTAAATGTTTCAAGTCGCTAAGTGGTCTGGTTGCCGAGATATGGGCCAAAAACTGCTTTTTTTCGAGGTTTTTTGGCTTTTCCGGGAAATCCATGAAAGAAACCCGAAATTTTTATGGCCTATGTTAATCCTCGTAACTTGCTTAACATAATTGCTTTTGGAACTAGTCATCGATATTGCTTCGTTGAGGAGGAGATACGACTTAAAGCTGCGGACACACATCCATCCATCCATCCATCCATTCATTCATACATTCATACATCCAGAAATGACGGGTTAATAAACGCAATTCTCCAGAATGGAAATTGCGCTAAAAATAATACTAGAAACATGAAATACATTACACTAAAACGTATCTAAAACCTAAAACTGTGATATAAAATACCAAATTACTTACATGTTTTAATTACATCACTATAATGATAATGATAAGTTTTTACGTGAGGCAGCCGACAGAAATCATCGATCAGCTTATTTACATATTTGCAAAAACTCCCTAACACGTGTTAGTATAATTGCAATCGATTGTTTTAAACTGTCTACTGTCTAACATTAGAAAAATATGTTTAAAAATGTTTTATAAAAAGTATTATTAATTAATTTTTCTTCAATACGATAATCTACAATACCGAGTAGCATTTTTACAGCAATTAACGTGTCAGTTCATTATGTGTTGGGTTTTGATTAACGGGCCGTTTTTTTTTTAAAGAAGATAATTAATTCAAAATCCTTAGTTGAATCTTAACGCAGCCAATGGGGTTTTTATTTAACCGAAACAAAGGGCGGGTAACTACAGTTGCTAATCTATGACACTGCCATATGCCGTAATATTTTGTATTAATTATCCCAAGGGAGGGAAGGGGGGCTATTGTGTGGGTGTGTATTGCTAGTGTATTTATTTAAATTATTTTGGTTTTTATTTTTATCTTTTAAAGTACATTTTTTTTTATTACTAGTATACTGCAGGCCTCTATACAATGTAAAAACAATTACGTTAAAATTCGACTTGGCCAAGAATAGATAGCGTGAGTTGTCTCCCATTCCTACAAGTCGAGGCCAGTTGTTTCCCTTACTTACACCATTTTAAACCTAATGAACAGGCGGACTACAGGGAGTCACTCGGAAATTTTTTCCCCCTCTTACCCCTAATTTGGCCACCTCGCTCGCGTGCACTGTACATGAATCACTCCAGCCGCCACTACAAGCCATGCATGTCGATGGTATCTGGATCAGTCTGCGCCGTGCGGTCAAGCGGAACGGCTTTAATCATCTAATGAACGATAGCTCCATTCGCAGTAGCATTGTTCATTGTCCGGGCTATCGGTCTCCGTCGTGACGTAATCAGCTAGCAGAAATTCGAACAAAACGAAACAACAGTTACGAAACCGAGTAGAATTTATTGTTTAAAAATTCTAACCCCGATGCGTTAACGAAACAAAATAAGTTATCGGAGAAGCGGTTCTTTAAAAAGTTGAATTGCCACATAACGTGCGGGAGTGACGGTAATAATCGGCCCCGTTAATGGCAACAAGGTCGGTGTTGATGACTGGAAGGTGGAATTAGTTTCTGTAACGGCAAGTTTAATGATTTAATCTTCAACAGGACGGGCGAGTGCGCCTGGCAGAACTAGAAACGTTTTAATCTCGGCGGTGTGTGTTTGGTAGGGGAGACAATTCAATATCCTGTATAAAGGGAGAGAACTGCGAGCCCCTGAAGACAAATTTCATTCCTTGATCTTTGGGCAGTTGGGCGTGCCGAGGTCAAACGCCCCCATGAGCCTGGGCGCCAGCAGACCTTTAATGGCTTGTTTCCCGTGTGTCGGCCTGTCCCCCAGCGGCTGACCTCCTCTTCTTCCCTCGCTTATTTCTTCTAGAAAATTCGCTCATACAAACCTCGGTGATCGTTTGTCAATTGCTATTACGGTCCAGTGGTTTATCCGATTGAATGCGTGTGTGTGGGGGAGTGGGGAGGGGGTGGGGGTGTAAGGCAACCTGACGTGAAGATGGAAAAGTTGGGTGATGTTAAATTGTAGGTGCTCATCCGTAAAGCACGTGCTGTGGGGGAGATCACGTGACGTGGTTGAGTGTGTTTGTACACATCATGTCCAACACGTGGGGGGGGGGTGATCTGGGTATGCCCCTGGGGGTCGGGGGAGGGTCAAACAGCTACCGAAGATATGTCCTAAAGTGTGATTATGATTTTGGTTGAGGGGTGGGGGTAGATTGGCTAGCAAGTTAACGGTGTGTGGTCTGCCCTATCAGAAGGATAGGGTGAAGGGAGGGGATACAGGGGTAAAAATGTGTGACTTGATTGATTAAAATCTTAATCCACTCAAGATGAATTTTCCGTGGGGACGTACTACTAGGTTAGAGAATTTAGTCTTACAATAAGATCTCCTTCTGTCGAGTCCAATATATAACAATATACTTGTGTTTACTTTTTTCACATACAGGGCGATATATATATATATATATATATATATATATATATATATATATATATATATATATATATATATATATATATATTATACATGTATAAACAATAAATATCCCCTAACTAAATCTATGTTTATACATTTATATACAGGTCTATATATCTCAAAAGATACAAATATACAAATATCTAAACATATGTATTAACAACAATTCAATATTTTAATTAACCACCACTCTGACACAAATAGCAATAACAATTTCCTCGTAAACGGAAAAAAACACAACCTTGTATCAGCGAGATATTAGGCCTACATTTTTTTTAAAAACCTGTCCAATCAAGACCTGATTTGATACAGGCAAAAAAACTGGATGAAAATAAATGTCCGAACGGTCGTCTGATTTAATCTAATAATAAGTCTTTATAAGAGGCACTCACGTTTAAAAACACAGTTTTAATTATGTAATTATGTTTTAACCAAGCTTAAAATAGAAGACAGCTAAAGTGTGGTAGATCGCAAATCAGCAGTCAAAGGGAATTAACCAAATTTAATTTACGCAGTTAGTTGTTTCCCTTGTATCCCAGCTATTTAAAAATGACTTATCATTTCAGATTTATTAATTTAGCTTGCCAAAAGTTGAACATACAATGGCTGATTAAAATTTAGTTTTTCATTTTAACATCTATTTCTGGATCGGGCCATGAATTAAGGTAAATAAAAGTTTAATTTTAACAATTTTAAACTCTTTACTTTGGGACGAACATTTAAAAGACATTAACGGTTAGTTTAGTCTACTTCACTATTACTTTAAATAAATGTTACATAAATCTATTTATTTCAGATAAAAATCAGCTTTTGATTATTTTTTTCAAAGTATCTTTTTTAAACTAACGTGAGGAAATCACATTAAACTTTTCACACCGAAAAAAAATTAATGGGAATCTCCGATTTTAGCAAGAAAACGTACACTATTGTGCACAATTTAATTGAAATTTTTTTCGTTAGACAGCCGCAGTAATGAGGTAACGATTTTTTAAATACAATAACTTTGAACTCTTAGATCTATAATTTGTTGTAAAACGGTCCATAATTTATAACCCAGTTAATGTTTGGTTTTTCCACTGGTTAATAAAATTGATAATAAATAAATCTTGATCTAGAATCTAGAATCTAGATCTAGATCTAGATTGTCTAGATCAAGTTCTACGCTTATTGACTTTCGAGGGTATAGAGGACAAACACAGTAGATTCTACGTCCAAAAAAACATAAATGAGTTTATAAATCTCATTCCAATATTAAAATAGTGCAAAATATGTTTAAACATTCATAAAATATTTGCATTCCACTTTTCTGGCATTGTACATGAGTGTTCTGGTAGCTTGACAGTATCAGTATAGAACTATAGATCTAGATCTATATCATAAGCCTTTAAATCTATAAAATACTATTAAAATAGTCTACTGTGTTACGTTTACTAGAATCAAGATGTTTCTTCTAAACCAGGGGTTCCCAACCCCGTGCCCGCGGGCGCCATGGCGCCCGCCGAACGATTCGTATGTGCCCGCCTATCACTATTCGACAGAGACAGAATTTTTTTTCATAAACATTATTGACAGGTTGAAGAGGATGGAAATCGAAAGTTTGAGGGGGGGGGTGCAAATCGAAAATTTGATGGAGGGTGCAAATCGAAAGTTTTGTCCCCAGGTGACGGGAAGGAGTTTGTCGATTTAAAATAGGTGGTGCCCGCCGCCCTACCGATATTTTAGAATGTGCTCTAGAGTAAAAAAGTAAAAAAAGGTTGGGAACCCCTGTTCTAACCCTACAAACCTGTGCTAACTCTAGTGTCTAGTCCTAGCAGACTTTGTAGAATTGTGTATATTCTATCTCATTTTGTACTATAACGATGTAATATTAGATCTATTTCTTTATTACACCTTTTTTTTTAAATGCTAGATCTCAATTGCGTTTTTTAAAATGCCTCCGTGCTAACTGTTGTTACCGTTATTGAATAAATTGAATATATACTATACACCTTAGATGATCAGATACATTATTACTATTATCACTCAATGTGTAAATTACTATAAATATTAGGTGTCACCCTTCTTCCAGTAGGTCTAGGCACTCGAGTCGTTCTATGAGGTCCCCAGAAAAGTTGGACACCAAAGTATCCTCCCACTCCATAGCAGCAAGCCATCGCGGGAAACTAACTCTGGGGAACGGGGGCTGCGGGGACGTGAAAAACAAATCACCCCAAACGGTAAACCTGACTATGTTCGTTTAGGTACAATACTAGTGAAGGATGGATGGGCCAAAGGTAGGGCATGGCCAAAGTCTTTTATTGTTTTAAATGTAGGATATTGTTTTCTTTTCTTTTTTTGCTTACTTTTTTTAATCCTGAAAGCAAGATAATATGTGTTGACTAGATGTAGCTGCATATTCTTAACATTCAGAGTGGGCGGATGTAGAGTTCATTTCATTCATTGACCTCGACATAGTGGTGGATAGTGTGGTCAGTACTATGCCCAGCCGTATGTTTCCCTAACGTTAGAGCTGGGTGGGCTAGCCCTGGATACAAATCCGAGGCTTTCGGCTTAAGAGTCGTAAGTTCTACCATTCGGCCACCCAAAAACTGAATCGAAATATATTAGAATTTTAAAGCTGAATTCACAATTTATAATCCAGTGGCGTCACTAGGTTAGGTGTTGCCCGGTGCAGTAGATAGGGTGTAGCCCCGCCCCTCTTAATTAACTTTGCATTTTTGGTTTGGTGTCACACATCCCCCCCCCCCTCTTTAATTTAAAATTTTAACAGTATTAACGTTTTGATATTACATTTTATATTTGGTGTCGCCCCCTAAATGGCGACACCCGCTGTGGACCGCACACCCCGCCGCGTGACGCAATGTATATAACGACAGAGATGTAGACCAGTGAGGCTCCACGTAGTCAAATAAAGCTAGTTGTAGTCAAATGATACTACTCGTTTGAATTTCTTTACACCTGTTATGCTCAGATTAATTCAAAAATGTACTGTTTTTTGTTTGTTTTTATCATCAGACAATTAAAATTATTTGGCTATTCGTGTTATGTGGGATAATAAATCAATCAGCAACAATTTCCACTGAATTGTGTTAGTTCTAGGGGTGTCTGTATACTGTTCTGATGTTTAACCAGATGTTAATCTACTACATGTTTTAATCTTTAAGAACTGCCCCGAGTTGTCACCAAAGTTCCGCATTATCACCCCTGTATGTGACAAATTCAACACCAAAGATGATTGCATCTGCCAAAACAGCAAATCCACATTTGCCATGCGCTGCGGCAAAGAAAAACCACCAGATGAGCTCATGCTTATTAAGGAGGAAGACTGCGCTAACTATTGCGACTCCAATCCCTTCATCTCTAGCATCATCGTTGCCAAAGGCATCTTGTTTGTTCTGGTCTTTGCTGGCCTAGTCTACATCTTTTACAAGGTGACGCTGATGTACAACAAGAGCCACGAGATCCTCAGCGTCTTGTTCCTGCTTCTCATAACCCTCCTGGTCTTTGAGCCGCGCTACTTCTTCCCATCTATGGTGATGAACAGTGTCGCCAGTGATCCTGATTCATCGGAAGTCGGTTCATCCAAGCCACAGTTCTGCTACACAAGCGCTGAATTACCTACACCGATGTCTTAAGACTTCCAGCAACATGTCTTAAGACTCTCTAACAACCATGGGCTTAAACATCAGGATTTAAAGTGACAAATCAATACAAACATCTTTGTGATTTAACAATAACATCAAAATAAAGGAAAAGAAAAATGATCAAATGTGTATAGTCTTTGTTCTGTTGTGCCGGTTGAAGCACAGAGTGCCCTTTACAAATGTGATGTTATACTTTGCTTTGTTTATAAATACAAATTTAAAATAAGGTTTCTAAACTCAATTTTAAATCAAGGAAAATGAAGGTCAAATTGTACCAAATCACCTTTAATATTCCAGCATTTTTTTTTTGTATTGATTGACTTATTGTCATAAACAATATCATGTGCAATGTGAAGAATCAAAACTAAGAACTGTTACTTGCGTTAGTTTCATTTGATCGTACAACAAATAAAGGCACATACATAGTTCCACTTTTGACAAGGAGATTTTAAGAAATAATAAGGGAAATAAAATGTTAAAGCTTTGAAGATTATATGAATGATTGGTTATGAAATTAGAAAAATAAATTTGGTAAAACAATGTTAGTTTTATCTTGATTAAAACTTAGAAAAGGGGAAAAATGGATGGCACTTTATTTAAATAAGATTATATACTCATTAAATTTTCATTTTCTCTAATGCATAATTTCAACAAAGTAAATGACAATTTTTTAAATTTATTAAATATAATCACCGTTCATAAATTAATTATTGAAATTACACTACACAAATAAGGGTACTGAAGGGCAGAAAACAAAATATTCACTTTTCATTGCTCTTTCACACTCAAAGGCAACTATTCTACCATAACCCAGCATGACACCTTGAAATCATAATTAACATAATCGACTTAATACATTTCGATGGTGATGAACACAAAGAAGTTCTGTGCATTCATTGTTTTATGGTCTGTCTCTGTCATGCCCAACTCATTTTACTGAGCACTGTATTTTTATAATTTAGCACCTAAAACATCCCATCAAATAAGTTCATATGAAACCTAAAGAAAAAGTTGACTATCACCTCTTCCATAGCAATTGATAGTTTGTCTTATACAGCAGAGGTAGATGTATTGAGACGCGAAATAAACAAATGATAAGCGCTTGATGAAATGCTGGCCAATAGGAAGCTACTGACAGCATCAAATCAACAGAATACTTTACATTTCTATTTTGACTCCCGGAGTCAACTAAATACTTCATTCGGTCAGCAGTGAGCGAGCATTCATACAAAACCTCTTTGGAACGTCCCTTTAAATAATATTATACAAAATGGTTTCTTTTACAACAGATTATTGCTAACAATCCTGGCTAAGACCTTTTTTTCTGAAGGGCCTGAAAGATAAAACAAAAAAAATTATTGCACTTTGTCTATAGTTATTAAAATATTCCTATCAATATAAGATAAGGTTAAGAAGATGGTTTTACAATTAAAAAAACATTTTTCATCTATTGACGATTTTTTGACGATTTTTACCCCCCCCCCCCCCCCACATCATCACAAAAAGCCAGACCCCCTCCTCCCTAAAATGACATCACACCTCAGCATACAACCCCCCTTAAAATTGCAGTTGAATTTTTCTTAAAACATCGATATTTTTCCAAAATCTTGTCTGAACTCTCTCAACAGAGATTTTAATCAATTCCTATTATAATTTATTAAAACAGTTTCCTAAAATGCGAAATAACGGCTAAAATTCATTTTCTAACATTGCTTTTTTATAATGCAAAAGTGTGACATCACACCATCTGATCCCCCACCCTCTCCCCCATATCACACCGTCACAAAAATACGGACCCCCCTCCCCCTACGAGTGACGTCATTTATGGACGACCCCTTAGTAATAAACAAAATGTGTTATTATTAAGTAGTAATGAAATTGAACATGAAGCTGCTATCCTTGTGATTACTGATCTACATCTCAAAATTCATAAATCCTCAGATTATATGCACTATTAGCAATTAAATATTTTTACAATTAAAATGAGTAAAACAGCAGCTAATGAGGCTCCCAACAGTAAAATGGCACTTTAAAAAACTACAGAATGACCACCCAATTCAGGATGGATGCCTGTTCCTAGATAAAGTAAAAGTGACAGAACATGGTGCTGAGCACAATTACTTTATATAGCTGAAGGTCACAGAAAAATACCACCTCAACATCTACAAATTATGGGCTACAAGGTAATTCATAAACAAAAGATAAATTATGATTAATTAAAATTTACTACACTTTAACATGTTTATAATACCATCCTTTTAAGTGAAAGGTGGGATATTAGGTATTATCTTTTCTGAATTACACTAGGAATGGAGGGTGGAAGGGAAAACTTTGTTGCAGACATATTAAATGAATAACCCTGTATGGCAATATACTGTAAAATTATAAATATAAAGTTCATACTAAGTGTGAAGTGCTTTAAATAGCTTACCGCAGCCATGGTGCTGCCTAGTTGGGCAGGGGACATTGTAACTTCAACACCAGCTGCTCTCAGCGCAGCAATCTTTTCATCAGCACCACCTTTCCCTCCTGCAATTATAGCTCCTGCATGACCCATACGACGTCCTGGGGGTGCAGTAAGGCCAGCAATGAACGACACTACTGGTTTGGCATTTGGACCCTAAAAAATTGTATAGTAAGAAATAAAATATGTTTTACAATTATTCCAGTAATTAATTCTGAATAAACAAGATAATGTTTAATGGTTTTTTTATGCATTGTTATTTGTCATTTAACAAAGTTAAACCATTAAAATAGCTGAACAGCTGTGAATTATAATTCGTAAAGACATAATCTGATAAGATTAGTGGTTGGATCAAACTCCATGTTATATGAATATATTGTTGAAGACAAATTACTTTGTTGTTTTGTGAAAGGTATTCTGCAGCATTCTCTTCTGCCTGTCCTCCAATTTCTCCAATTAAGACAATACCTATAAAAATAAAAATAATTTTTTAAAGCTGAAATAATTTTTTAATTGTATTAATAAAAAAGACAGGTTGAGGTATAGTCAAAAAAGTATGTAAATAGTAACCCAAAGTAACCCATCCATTAACACCAAATAAAATTTAACACACTATTTAAAAAATATGTTAAACTCAAATAATAGAAAGAAATTTTTAAATAAAATTTTCCTAATTACCTTCAGTTTTGGGGTCATTCAGAAAACATTCTAAACAGTCAATGAAATTGGTACCATTGAAGGGATCACCCCCAATTCCAACACAAAGGGACTGTCCTAAGCCAGCTTGTGTGGTTTGATGCACAGCTTCGTATGTTAAGGTACCAGATCGGGATACAATACCTGTCAAAAGATTTTGATATAAGCTGCTTTTATTTTTTAAAAAACAATTCCTGAATACATATTTTCATTGGAGAGAAAAGATAAGATATGCTCCTCAAAATAAATTTTTAAACGTAATATATTTAAAAGTCTAAATCTATACACTCATACCTTACTTTACAACCAAAACACATAATTCTGAAAGTTAATTTCAATATTCCAAAACAAGGCATACAAAATTAAGGAGATGATAAATGTTTTATTCTTTTTTAGTTTTCAAACACATCTATTTTTAATTGTTAAAATAAATTAGTAAGAAATATTAAAATTAATTATGTAAATTTGATTAAAGCAAACAATTATAAAAAAAAGTGTTAACTTTAAAAAAATCTTAAACTAGGTCACTAGACTTTCTGATGAATATTCTTCAAAAGCGAAATAAGCTTTTAACCCATTACAGGGATGTGATATTATTAAAAGACCAGTTAATTTAATTACTAACATCTTTTTAAAAATAAAAAACGTAGAGTAAATGAGATGTGATCCAATTTTATTTTTATTACATAAATGATAAATGAGTGTTCTAAAAAGATATCTAGAGAATTTCTACTTACTACTATGTACAAGTCTTATGCCTTGCTGATGTCAAAACACAGAAGATTACAGATTAATAATCCATACCAAGTTTATTTAAATTGTATTTATATTTAGTATTAATAATCCATACTAGATTTTTTAAAATTCTTCACATTTAGTTTAGCCTTAATTTATTAATAATCCATACAAAGTTTGTTTAATTTGTGTTTACATTTTAAAAGGTTTATTTAATTACAAATGTTTACATTTTATCATTATTAATCCATACTAAGTACATTTAAGCTGCATTTTATTATTATTGATTTATACTAAGTCTATTTAAATTATGTTAACATTTTTTAATCATCTTGTATTAACTTCAACCATGCATAATGAAAAAAAAAAGAAGAAAGACAATGGTCACAAAGCAAGGTATGAGTGTTCAGTCATTTTAAAATAGCATGCAGTTAAAATACTTTTTATATATGAGCATATTTTTTTAAAAAAAAGCTTACCTATTTTCCCAGGCATGTGTATGTGTCCTGGCATAATTCCAATTTTACATGCACCAGGCTAGGATAAATTTGTAAAATAATTAATTATATCTATATATATAATTCTCTTCTGGGAGACGCTAGAAAACAAGCTGTAAACGCGCTCCCTACCATCCCCACCCCTACATGATCTTAGTGAGCTGTGGTTCACGCTATGTTTACCTTCGTGGAGTCAGGTTTAGTGACGGCTATTAGGGGCAGATAATTTAGTTTGAAACTATTTTAAACGTTGGGGGGGGGGGGGGAGGAAGGGGGGTTATGGTCCTTAATGTGCTACTTATAGTGTTTTAAAGAAATATTTTCAGTGTCAGCGTTGGTACTGTCGAATTCACAAATTATGAATTACTGAAAAGTAAAAAAAAACAACAACTAAATAGCGGCGTATGTTATGCCGCGGGCCGGCTTGTTAGATATAATACTACTATATTTGTAATTTTACTTTGTTTCAGAAAGGTGTAATTTGATTAAGTACTTTTTTGTAATTAAACCCCCTGAATTTTAAACAATGTATAAAATACTATGAATGGAAAAGATAAACAAACCTTAATAATACCAGGACAGTTAGGACCAATCAATCGGGTCTTTGCCTGACGAACAAGTTTATGTTTGACCCTCACCATGTCCTGTTGAGGGATACCTTCAGTGATGCATACTACCAATGGAATTTCAGCATCTATAGCTTCAATCACAGCAGCAGCAGCAAAAGGCGGAGGTACAAAAATAACAGTTGCTGAAGCACCGGTTTCATCTTTAGCCTATAAAAAGTCACATTTAAATTAATTTTTCAAGTATTAAAAGATTAAAGTTATTCATTTCCAACAGCTAATTAGACATAACTATTTTTTATTTTTTTTTTTGTATTTTTGTTTCCGTATTATAATAGAGACATGGAAAACTCTACTGCAGCAATCATAATGACCATCAGATGACTTAGACTGCTTACCTCTTTTACAGTGGCGAAAACAGGTAGTCCAAGATGTTTCTGGCCTGCTTTGGCTGGCGAAACACCACCCACAAACTTTGTCCCGTATTCAATAGCTTGCTGGCTATGAAAAGTTCCCTAAGAAAAAAAAAATTTGCTAAACAAATAGGTTGGTTTTTCACTACCCACACATCTATACAGTTTAAAATATTATTCATTTATACAATTTAGAATATTTCTGCTTATACAAAGCCATATAACTTTTCTAATGCTTATTTTCTAAAACAAGATGAGAATTATTAAAAACCATCAAATATTAACTTACGACATAATTTTACTATAGCTGTTGACCCTGGAATGTTCCAATTCATGCTGGCAATAAGCCAAGGCATCAGTAAGTAATAGCACTTTTTTAGTTAATAGATATCCTAACACCACTTCTTCCCATTATTAACAGCATTAGGATAAAAATAAAATAAATAGCTGATAGTACCAATATCGAAGCTTAGAATTACCTGCTTTCCTGTAAAACCCTGGCAAATAACTTTAGTATTCTCATTGATCATCAGGTTTGGTCTAGTTGCTGTGTATACATTGCGACTCAATGACCTAGTCAAAGCTATAAAAGAATTTATTTTGAAGTTATTTAGATATTTATTGCTGCATTAACTTAAGATAAAATATTTTAAAAGTTGCTTGTTAATAAAGGTGTATCTTGAGTTTTAATTACACCAATCATCAATCATGCAATTATTCTAATGGCAGTCAATAGGGAAGATAAGATAGAGTTTATCTGTTTCTCTGACCAAGACATTTGAAAGGATAGTAGAATCTATGGTTAATTCTATGCCCAGCTGCAATTACTTTCCTTAAAGTTGTGAGTTTAGTATTTAAGTATTTAGATCTAGATCTAGAAATCTGAGATCTAGACTAGAGTCTAGACTCTAGACCAGGGGTCTCCATACTATGGCCTGCAAGGTCCTCTCATCCAGCCCGCTGAGATCTTTTTGTCCACGGAAAAAATGTCTGTTAGAGGTGGCTGAGGTGGCGAAAACATCGAGACTCAAATAGCGGAAAATGCAAGCACATTTCACTATTTTTTAATTGCAATGGATGAGTCGCTGGACAGCTGTTCCACCTCTCAACTGTTCATTAAAGTAATGGATGAAGACATGAACATAACACAAGAGCTGGCTTCCCTACATAATATGTATGGCACTGTTACCGGAGAGGATATATTCAATGAGTTAAAAAAACATTTGATGATCATAACATGGACTGGACTAACCTCAGTTAATTGATGGGGAAAAGTACATTAGTGGCATAAAGAAAGTCTTGGTTGGACAAGAGAATGAGAAAAATATTCTACAACCATTGCTCCGGCACTCTATTATTAATCAGCAAGCTTTGAGTGCTAAATATATGGACATTTGCAGTGTACTGAATCCTGTGGTGAAGATGGCGAATTTAATAAGGTCACATGGGTTCAACCATAGAGAATACGTAAAGAATAATTTGAGAGCAAACTTGGACCTCGAGTGTGTTGTCGGCCCCCAACAGTGTTTCTTTCAGATTTTTTTTCTCTGAGGGGGGGGGGGGGGCAGCACTTGAATTTTGTATATATTTCTATATAAATTATATTTTATTGGGGGGGGGGGGCGTTTTGGGGGGGGGGGGGGGGGATATGAAAAAACTCTGCCCCCCCCCCCCCTCCCCCCCCCCCCCCCCCCCCCCCGGAACTGATAGGCCTATTTGATAGTCAATGCTGCCCTCGGTCTGAAAAGTTTGGAGAACCCTGCTCTAGACTCTAGAGTCTAGCAGAGTAGCAGTAGTAGTGTAGAGTGTGAGTGTAGAAGAGTCAGAGTGAGTGACTAGTGTCTAGTAGACTACTAGTAGTGATACTTAACTACTAGTAGTGACTCTACGCTAGACTAGATCTAGAATAATATTAAATAATAAATAATATAGATTCTAGATTTGCCACGATTGTGATTGGGAAAATGTCGAATAATTATTAATTAATTACCAATTGTCGCTCATTAGATCTATGCAGTTGAGTAATGCAAATAGATTATTTTAGAAAAAATATATTGAACACTAACCAGGCAACCTTGCAAGCACCTTGTTAGTGGCCGCCATGATGAATAAGGCAAAGTTCAAGGATATTTTTGTAACAAAAAAATATGCTTCTTGCACTTTAGCCTAGTTGGAATTTTTATGTTGACTTGCAGAGTTTAAATACCGTATAATACATAAAAATTTGAAACATCGAAGACGAGTCAAAAACAAAACGTCGAGAGTAAAGAGACTGCTAAATTAGACCACATTATAATTAAAATAGTGTCATAGAGACTCATAGAATAGAGATTTATAGATCTTCGGTACTGATTTTAAAAAAAAAATAATATAAAAAGTTAATAATAAAAAGCTTTTATGTATCATCACATAAGAAAATTATGATAATTATTTAATGCGCTACTCTCTAATAACTATAATCCTTGACATACTTTGGATTAGTATTTATTTGTGTGTGCTTTAAAGAATGATCGGCGAAATTAAGGGCTGTAAACAGATCAAACCAGCTTTTTCTTAGATCACAATATGTTCCGTTGTCTGTCTTTGCTAGGTGGGTTGGCATAATATTAAAATAAAATTGTAACTTTATTACCCCATGGCTACGCCTCTAATAATTAAGCAGCAGCGATCATTCAGGTTTTCACGGCTGTTGATTGCAAACATGATAGAGATACGACCACGGATTCTACTAAGGAGAGTGTGTACTTAAGAGATCGATATCGCAAACTTCTGATCAAGTTTCAAAACAAAAATACTTAAGACGAGTTGTATATCGAGTTGATTAAGGATAAGGGAAATTAGAAGATTAAGTATTGCACTAGATCATGCTGTTCTTTTAAATTGATTACATGCCTACTAGGCTACTGCTAAAAAAAAAGGCATCCAGATACTAAAAGGGCAAATGTCCAAAATAAAACATGAAGTCAGTAAATAAACCTTCCTAATAACAGGCTTTTCTTTTATTAGATGCAATAAAATTAATAAAAAAAGTCGGTACCTTACTAAATATCTTTAGGGGTCATCCATAAATGACGTCATGCTTTTTTGACGAATTTTACCCCACCCCCTCCCCTCGGTCACACGTCGTCACAAAAAGCCAGACCCCCCTTTCCTAAAATGATGTCACACATCAGCCTATGGCCCGCCTCAAAATTGCAGTTGAATTGTTCTTATAACATCGATATTTTTCCAAAATCTTGTCAGAACTCTGTCAGCATATAGTATTTTGATTAATTCCTATTATAATTTATTAAAACCGTCTTCTAAAACGCGAAATAACGCTAAAACTCGTCTTCTAACATTGCTTTTTAATAATGCAAAAAAGTGACGTCACACCATCTGAACCTCCCCAACCTCCCCCTAATCACACATCGTCACAAAATTACGGACCCCCTCCCCCTGCTAGTGTGACGTCATTTATGGACGACCCCTTAATACATTTTTAAAATGTATATCCTCCCCTCAGCCTCAGGGAAAGGCTCATAACTTTTCATAACAAATTAAAGCGATCCACTAAAACCCACTGAACATGTGGCATATATTCTACAAGAAGTGACTTTTTTTAAAATTATAAATAATTCCGAAATTCAAGTAACTAAAGAAAGTGATGTAATAGAATTTTATTTTATACACCCAATCTCTCTTTTAAAAATTAATCCAAGGGGAACTATTGAATGCTAACCTATTTATTTTACAGTTTGCATATGCTTATTTTTCTTTCCGAAAATTAGACAAGCCAATTGCACAAGAACCAATAGTAATATAATTAGTTTTTAAGATGGCGACGTAAACGAATGTATCATCATTATTCATCAGGCAGGAAATTGAACATTGATAGATTGGCTGGCGATTTTGTTCTTTTAAAACACTAGTGTTTACTCAAGTCCACACAAAAGTATGGTATTTTTTAAAATTAATAATCTCAATTATTTTACTTAGGCCTTTGTATATTTTAGCCTCTAACCGAACCGAGTCTAACCAAGGCCCAAGGAAAGTAGGCTGTTTGATGAGAATTACAGAATGATTTTTTTATTAAAAATGTATCAATAATAGCTAGAACACTAGTAAACTAAGCTAATTTAGCATATTTTAACTTTCTGTGCAAAGTCATTATTACTGAAAAAAATTCCAAAGTCAGGTCAGCCTGTGGCACCCTCCACTGAACGTGACAGAAGGAAAAAAAAACTTCACCCGTGACCTTCATTAAAACAGAATTTGCTTTTGTTTTATTTTTATTTTTGGTAAACATGTGCTTAATCTTACCCAATAAGTGATAAAAATTTGAAAATTAATTTTAATTACTGTTGTAAAGTGAGATAAACCAGCTTAATAAACACATGCTTTCTTGAGGGGGTGTGGCCCGGGTGTGGCACATCGCAATTATAACTTTATATTTCTGTGTTTTATGACTATATTTGTTCACAATTAGCATGCTATGTTTTTTAAATTGATAAAAGGTAAGTATACCAAGTTACAAAATCCGCAATCTAACTAATAATTCATACTTTCAATTTAAAAAATAATAAAAACGATCATCAACGAAGAAAGCGTAAACATTCTATTTTTAGGTATGACATAAAAAACAGTCATAAATCTAGCCAAATGATTGGATTCTTGCGCGGCACACATTTTCCCGCGCCTCGTTTTCACCAAACAAGAATATAATAAAATGGCATTATTGAGGGGTGATCACTTACACCCTCAAATGTATTGTTTTCACCCTAATTTCATTAAACAATTCAATTTTTATTTGATAGTAAAGATGTTATAAAAATTGTAAAAAATAAAAAAGTTATTGTCGAGCGCACCTGCTTTAGTTAATTCGACTTGAAACGCAAGCTAAATAAGCGTGACTTTCTCTCGACGGCCTCGTTAAATACAAACAAAGAAATTAGGCCAAAAGTAGATCCGACAATTCTTAAACAACAGACTTAAATAGAAACGGATAGTTCCGATGTCTAAAATTAACGATGGCTTCGTAATCATTAGTTTTATCCCTCTACCCATTAGTGAAAGCGAAACTGGTCGCCATTTTTGGTAAGCGCATGAGCCGTGAGATGGCTTCAAAACAACAAACCCGGAAGCTGTGAATTCGAACGGCCTAAAGGAAAGACAAGTGAAAGTGAAGTTGATCTAATCTAGATTTCTAGATCTATTCATTTTCAATCTTCAGTCTACTCTACCTACGTAGATTCTAGATCTTGATTCTAGCTACTAAATCTAGATTTCGATGATTACTTATACCAGTGTCTGACAATATGTTCTTCCGGCCAATGATCTGCGTTGTACCGTGAAGTCTAAAAATAAAACGTCAACATAAACAAACTCACTTTGGCCTAAATAGGTCGCGCTAGGCACCGAGAGAACAGAGATGTGTAGTTTTTGTAACATAAATACTTTTTGCATAGTGATTATGAAAATAATAGGATTTGGAGAGGTGCCATAACAAAAAAAAACTATCTCCCTTCATTATCATTAGTGCTAATTAATTAATTAGCTTAATTACAATATGTTAATTATGCTAATTACTTCGTTAATGCACTTGTGGGTTCGTTTATAAGGTGTGTTTTTTTTTTTAAGTTTTTTTTTGTCTTGAAAAGACTGCTTGAACTTAAATATTATCATGAGGGTCATGTGGTGATACAATTGCAGATCTAATTAATATTCATAAATGGCGTTGGAATAATTTTTTCTGCATGGATATGATGTCGTATTTTGTAAGTAGGATAATTTTGTTTCCTTTTTATTAATTATCTATACCTCCATCAAAGCGTTTAATCAATAAATTCAGCCGCTAAGCCGCTTTTCATCGAAATACTAGATTTAGATGTCGGGTGTCCATCTAAACTTTTGAGACATCACGTGACCTCATTTTCCCGCCTTGACCACTTTGCCATCGATCGGTTACAGTTTAAAATTAATTACATACCAATATCCCCACGTTCTAGATAATGCAAATTTAAAACCCTGCAGGGACAGCATTTAACACCCGTGTCTATAAAGTTAACGTTGCTTTGTGGCTTTACGTTAAGAAATTATATTTTGGCATTTAGCTGCGCGGGCTAGCCTAGATCCGTGCTTTGACCTAATTTGGAACACATGCCGCGCAAGTCTCCGCGGTGTGCTGTTGACAACTTTGTTTGCATGCTTTACTTCAATACGCAATAAAATATGATCAAAATAAATTTATTGTCTGTTTTCTTTGTATTATTTACATACTTTCGGCATCGGCCGATGAAACACGCACTTTATAAGCGTTTTGGTAGACTTGACAAAATATTAGTGCACGAAAAGGCAAATATTTAACAATGATTGCTTTTTCGGACGTCAATATTTTGAGATTTTGTGGCGTCATCATTGAAAAAAACGACTATCTCCATTTTTTAAAAGGGTCATTTTTCCCTCATTTTGAAAAAACGCGTTGCGATTTGAACTATAAATTAAATTTAGGCTTCAAAACCGCTGTTTTGACACACCGCGCTGATGACGTCACGCCTTACCAAAACGCTTAGAAAGCGCGTATTTCATTGGCCGATGCCGGATGTAGTCAAATCCCGGAGACTGGTATAAGCAATTAACCCTAGATTTAATTAGAACTAAGCTAGGTTAAATCTTGTAGCTGGCTTGAAGTGGCTATTAGGACCTGGGTCCAAATAGCCTGGCTGTTAATTGTTATTAAACCAGGGTCCCTGGATACTGGATGGATTTGCTAGTATTTTCTAAATTTTGTTGTTTTGTGTGTGTGTTTGTTGAAAAGTTTTGTGGATTTTGTAGTGTTAGGTTCTACTATTTCTGAATACCTTATATTTAGCCCTATAAACAAAATCATTCAAATCATTAAATGTTGAATATTTAACTTAAGACATCTTGGCACGTTGAGAAATATTGTGCCTCTCAAATCTCGGAAGTTACTGTTACAGGACAGAACTGGAAAATCAGTCTGCTCTGGGCAAGAAAAAAGTATTCAACTAAGCTTGTAGATCTGTCACAAGAGTTTCTTTTTATAGATTCAAGACTATAGGCTATCTTTTATAGATTTAGCTTTCTAAACGTCATTGCTTCCTACAATCGCCTGCTCACGTTTTCTTGTCAGTGGGAGAAAAATACTGACAAGGTCTAGGGTCACTGTTTACTTTGGTCTTGATATCAGTAGTGTATGTATATAGCATACATAAAAGCAAGAACATTGCTATTTCAGATTATTGATGACATCACTATTGTTTGTCTCCCCAAACCAATCAATACAATAAACGTATTTGGGGGTCATTGTTATTAAGTCTATAGCAAGATATTAGTGTTCAAGAAAACGTCCCAATAGTTGTTGCCTACATTCAGCTATATTTTACTATTTTATTTTTTTTAATTTATTTGGGACCGATAATCCTATAAAATCAAATTATGTTTAACATATGAAGAGATAAAAAATAAAGAACATTTTTACTTGCATGTTCATCTGCTTGGTCAGAGCAGTTCATATAATAGACTTCACGACACCCGTTCCCGCAAAATCCGTCAGGAATGATATCGGGTATTTAAAGAAAGGTCTATAATCTCTAGATATATGGATTTAAAAAAAAAAACATCACAACAGAAAAGGTATAATCTACATTTAAAAAGTATTGTATAACTAAATCATAACAAATTAATTGCCTGGTCCTGGCAGAGGTTATAAGGACAGAGGTCATAATAGCAGCTATAGCTATTCGGACCTGGATCTAAATAGATGCCTTTGCTGGTTCTAGCTTTTTTTTTATATTTGGCATTTGGGGCTAAAATACTACATTTTAGTTTTATTTTTGCCTACTCCCAGCTTAGCCAGGAATCCCCAATCCATAACAACAGTTGGGGTAACAGTGATGAGAAAAGGTTTTGGAAGAATCAAGGGATAAAGTGTGGGAAGGTGAAGTGGAGGTTTGACTCTGTGAGGACACAATGAAATTTGATGATTATGTTGAGCCAATAGCAGTACTTATATAATTCTAGTGATAGGTTAGCCGTTGTTTTTTTTTTTTTAAATAACCTTGTAATAATTAAAAATCACAAAATTCTTTTCACAATCACAGTAAGGTTGTCATGGACACTCAGAGATCTCCACACACAAAAGTATTTATTCAGCGTGATTTTTCTGAGGGTATACCTGTTAAATTTCAAACTAGATATCCTCCAGAGTTAGAAGGAAGGGTAGGTAAAACATTTTTGTTGTTTGGTTTGTAAATTTATTTGTATAAAAAAGACTGGTGCATGGTGCTGTAGGTTGAAAATGTCTGGAGTTTTCAATAATATTTTAGAAGTGAAAAGTGTGGTAAAGCAAAGTATGCCAGTATATTTTGTGTCTTAATCCAGATAAAGTGTAAACATAACTGCTAAACATATAACTGGGAAAAGTATACATGTTGCAATTCACATTTCTCTATAAATAAATATCTTAAAATACATTCTAAACTTAGACAAGTTATTAAAAGACCTTTAACATTGGTCAGTAAATTATTACTAAAATGTTATGGTAATAATCAATTTGGCTTTATTAAAAGATAGTAAGAACCATAGTTCAAGCTTTCAGTGCTTTTGATGCCTGGGACACAAACATTTAGAATGAAAGATAAGATGCCATCTTAATTCTCAATAGATGAAAACAATGTCAAAAATGCTGAACTACTCATGTTAAATAATTTAGTTTAAAAACACTAGATGCCGATGTGAAACTTTCTAATCTTGTGACAAATACAGCTATATTTTTACATTGTTAATGAATTTTTTTAAAGCAAGATGTTCTTATGTTGAAGGTTGACAGAAGCACTTATGAAACGACCATAAATACAATTAATGAAATGTTTGCTGAAGCTGAAAGTCTAGGATCTCGGACATATTGTGAAAGCTGCTTTGCTTGCTTGACAGGGTACATTGCTCTTATGTGCATGGACACTTACTATGAAAAAGTAAGTCTTTTTTTTTTTAACAATGTTATGTTTTTCAGTTTGGTTTAGAATTATTGTGACTTATTGGATTTATATATTTTTCTTACACCACTCTTTTTTTTTTTGTTTAAAAATATAAACTCTACTAGCGGATAACCATAATTGAATGCATGGTTTAAAATAAATGCTCTTTGTAATAAATTAATTTTTAGACACTTAAAAAAGTTCGGCGATATCTGGAGGAACAAAATCAGACAATATACACTTCTCGAGGTGTTACACTCATAGACCCAGCAGAACGAGGCTTGCGAATAGTATCCTTTTTTTGTTACTTGTACTCTTATGTACATGCCTCTACAATTCTAGGTTAAAAAAAAACATTCCAGGCTTAAAAATAAAATCCTTAGAATTTATGTATTTGTCGAGTCTCTATAATTTTTTTCTAATTTTTAATTATTTTAATTTTGATGTTGGAAAATGTGTACTTGTTTTTATATCGTTTTAATTTATGTTGTTGTTTATCATTTTAAATTATATAAAACCTACAGTCCTTTTAAAAATTGGACTTCAAAAGAACTTTCCTTAATCATAATTCAGCTTGAAATCGACATTTCAAGTATAGACACACCACAGCGATGATCGGTGTCAAAATTGTACTCAAGAGCTGGAAATTGTGTAATCTTTCATGCTATGCTTGTCAAAAAGTTGTGATGCTGATCAGTAAGACAAATACAGTATAAAAAGAATATTATAATGATAAAATGACGTCAATTCTGATTCAAATAGTTAACATAAGTTTGGCCATTTTCAGTGTATTTCGCAAGCAGTATACTGTCTTCTGTAATCATTTTATTTTAAAATAAATCTTTGCAGATATATTTACTTAAATGTTTTTTTTTTGCATTTTCCAAGCACCAGATAACTATTTTTTCCAATGTTGACATTTTTTTTTATAAATATGTTAATATCATTTAATAGTTAATTATTTGTGTGATTTGAATTTTATATGGCACAAATGTGACAAGAACTTAAAATGGTAAACAGTGTAAAAATTTATAGTTTTCAAGAAAAATGCGATCAAATAATATCAATATGGACTGTATTTTTCTTCAGTGCCATAACAAATTGTATTGGTTCTAAGATCATTTTAGAATATACTCAATTCTTATGTGTTTTAATACAAAAGATGACTGGGTGTGTTTGCTTATACTTATATAAATGTTTCAGTTAAATTGCTGCAGGTGGAATGTAAACTGCCAAATCAAATTGATAATGATAACTTTTTAAGTTGCGAATAGCACATAATAGCCTCTTAATGTTCTAATGACAATATGTTGGAAAGTGAAAATATTAGACTCGTTTTTATTCAATAATTACACACAAAAGGACAATTGTACAAAAATACACCAGAGGTTTTTTTAAAATGTGTTTTGGTAAACATTACTAGCAGTAATACCAGTATGTGATATGATAGGGAAAAAATAATCAACAATATTGAAAGATACTGATCTATGATTCATCTTTCTAGATTTTGGTGTCTTTTTTTTTTCATAAACACCACCATACATTTTCTTAATATCTAGACTAGAACCCACACCATCAAATATTTTATCCACGATGTATTTTATAAAATGTTTTATGTGTCAATTGTTATTTATCAGGTTTTGTATTGTAATTTATTACATGATGAACAATGGTCTTGATTTTATTGTATCTAACATTTTTTTACCTTTGTTTGATTGAAAATTTATACCAGCTTAAATAAGTACACTATTAAATTTTTAGCTATTATCCATAAAAAATATTGATCACCCTTAGTCGTTAGGAGTAGAATAAGTCTGCAAATACATACAACTTTTAGTGTTGCCAGTTAGTTTTTTTTTTTTTAATTTAAAGAAAATAATACTGCAGCATGTTATATACTTTTGATTCCTAGTTCCTTTCTATTCCCTCCCCCAACTTTTATAGGCAGAATACTTGCAAAGTTGTTGGTATTTTTTAAATAAAAGGTTTTATATATATTCTTTGAGGATATATAAGAACATACTGTAAAAATTAAATACATTATTTGTTATTATGTGTTAACTTTTGTAACATGACATTATTTCTGATTATGAATTGCTTTTACACATTTCATGCTAATAATTAAGATTAAAATTTCATTGAATGTTTAATGTATACCCATCCTCAATTAGGAATAAAAATATCCAAATATAAACTAAAAGACCTAAGTGCTGTTTAAACTTACAGAATATAGAAATTTTAAAAACATGGATAGGTTGGTACTAACTATAAGTAAAAATTCCTTTTCTGATAATATACACTTTTTCTATAGGATTTTAAACATCCAACTTTGTAGAAACTCCACTTCTTTTTAAGACTAGTTGAAATATTTAACTTGCTTTATTATAATCTTGATTACATTCCATGGTATAATTTCTTTGCTTAGTATTGAAATAGGTGAAAAAAATCCTTTTAATAATTTCTTAAAAGCCAGTATTAATACACAACTATCGGTACCTCTAAATTGAGAAGGGATTTATAAAACAATGTTTTTCCAAATGCATTCTCTTCAGCCTGAATCATCATTTAACATTACTCAATAACTGTCTATTTTAATGTGCTATTTGTTGCATTTTGTAGTATCTAATACATGCAGTTATCAGGGCACAAGTTCAGATTTAGTTCAAAGGGTAACTCAATACTCTTCCATATCATTTGAGTCATGTAACAATTTTGAAGTTTAATTTAAAACTATGTTCTGCTGTTTTTAGTCTGTATTTCTGTCAATATCATCAGTGTATGTCAAACCCACATGCTTATGTTTAGTAGTTTTGTGGTGTATATCCTAAATAAATGTTAAAAAAATATTACTCATGTATTTTTATTCTTTAAAAATTATTACCATTATCTTTAATTAATTGATCAATTTTGCAGTAAAGAATAGTTAGAATAAAGATCTATAGTTGATTTTTCAAACAAAAAGTCAGCTTTTTTTTGTGAACAGAGGTTGCAAATAAGTGCAGATATGCTTATGTTTAGTAGTTTTGTGGTGTATATCCTAAATAATTGTTAAAAAAATATTACTCATGTATTTTTATTCTTTAAAAATTATTACCATTATCTTTAATTAATTGATCAATTTTGCAGTAAAGAATAGTTTGAAAAATCAACTATAGATCTTTATTCTAACAAAAAGTCAGCTTTTTTTTGTGAACAGAGGTTGCAAATAAGTGCAGATATGTACAGACTAACCCATAAATCCCTCAAGGAAAATATGCGGCAAATCTTGTAACTAAATAGACCAACATGTATTGCAGTAATTCCATTCAACTTTCCAGAATAAAATATGCAGGATAAAAACACAAGAATATCTAATTTTCAATCTAATTAGATTAATTAATTTGAAGATTAATTTTTAACTTATAAATGCTAAAAGAATTAATTAGTAGTAATAGTCCAATGAGCTGTTTCACAGGTTTTAAATCTTAACATTTTTTGTGTCATTGAGTGCTGGCTTGATTAAATTTTCCCAAATGTTTAAAAATGACAGTGTTTTTAGAATTTAAATAGACTTACTGTTGGATCTTTAAATCTTAGTACTAAAAATTATAAGTGTTATAGAAACATCGTAATAAATTTTTCAATTCACATATAATGTTCTATATTATAAAAGAGTTAATTGCTCTAGTAATTGCATAACGTGTTTTACTGACCAAAAGAAAACAGAAAGTTTATTTTATTTTCTTATTTCAGTAACATTCAAAGGCTTATTATTATTATAAAATAAAGGCTTTCAATACCTTATTTATTCAATTTATTATCAAGAATAACATCCTTTATATTGAAAAATAACAGGTTTTTTTAAAACTAGAATAAATGCAATTAACATTAGGTAGGTAAAATAATTTTAAACAAGAACAAATATTTCTTAAACAGCACCTTTAATGACCTTAGTGTGGACACTCTGTGAGCTGTTTATTAAGTGTCTTTATCACATCCTTTTCTTCAGAAAATTAAACAAAAAATAAAGTAGAATCAACCAATACTTTCTTTGGCAAGTAAACATCACATCCTTTTTCTGTACAAGTTCTAGGTAAGTGAGAGGCTTTGCAGTTTCAGTGTATGTGGATCTGATCCTTCAGTCTTATGTAAAGAACTTGCATCACCTGACACTGTGTCAACATTTTTGCTGGAAGAGCTGGATTCTTCTGGTGACTTTTCAACTTTAGGTGGTGCACTGCGGTCACCAAATATTGTGCTGCCCACTCTCACATTGGTGCTACCCATTTCTATCTGTAAGGGATAATTTAATTGTATTTTTAGGGGAAATTCGCCAACATTAAGCAATTTTAATTCAAACAAAACAGTCTACAGTGCTTTTTCTTACTGCTAAATACAGAATGATCTCATTTAACTTTTTTTTCTAGTCCTATAGAGTTAAAAATAATCAGCTTACTGCATGTTCAAAATCAGCAGACATTCCCATGCTCAGTTCTAAGTCTTGTATGGAAATGTTTAGAGTTCTGGATACTTCTTCTCTTACAGCATAAAGTGTCTATAGAAGAGAAAGATAACTTTTAATTCTGTTACCCAATTATCTTAAACTTGCGGTGTTTGAATAAGTAATTTGGTATAAGAACAAAAGAATGTACGAACAAGTACACATGTTGTAATTATTTTAGTATAGTTAAAAGAGCATATTTCATTAAAAAAACAGACTTTAAAGACTTGACTGAATAAAATAATGTTGGAATTTTTCAAAAATAGCATTCCTTTAAATTACTTTTTTTATTTAAATATAACCAATTTATGGTATTTTAAGGTAGTTAAAAGAGCATATGTCATATTATTAAAATTATAACCAATTTATAGTGCTCATTCTTTTTCTTATATTATTATGGAAAATTGTTAAGTGTTGGTTTAGTTGAACATTTTAAAGAAACGAGTTTTCAAAGATCAAAGCAATTAATAATTTTTATATGAATAGTCAAGTAGGAGTAGGAATCAAAATCATTAGATATAAAATAGAGGTCATCAGACTAGGACTTGCTCGTACAGCTACAAGGAGAAGATACAAGGAGACGAGGAAATTACATATCTGGGAATGTGATCTACAACGATAATTATCTTTATTAACAAGGACAGATGTGCCTTCGACTCACTCACGCCTGATACAGAATTTCAAAGCCTTGTCACTTCAGAGCAAGATAGGAATCTTCAACACAAATGTTAAGGCAGTATTACTTTATTGCCTACAGGCTACAGTTGTTCACAGACACTCAGGTGTTTAAAACAAAAAATAAGATGACTAGATAAAATCTCAAATGAAGACCAGTGACAAATCACAAAGCAACAGGGATATTAAAGCCCACAAATAAGGATGGATCTGGCAAGTCCTCAGAAGAGAAGACAACATCGCGAGGAAAGCGTTAGACTAGAGCCCCCAGAGGAATAGAAAAGTAGGCCAACCAAAGATATCCAGAAGGTACAAGTAAAAACGAAAATAATATACAAAAAAAAAAATCCCACCTTGAAGTCTGGATTAGGCCCAGTCAGTGGATCATGATCAAAAGATCCTATAGTCATAAGCCCCATTACAGTAATCTGTGGACACTTCTCTCTGATATACTTAACAATACTTGTAGTCTCTTGTGGTGCACATCCACTTTTATCTAGTGTTCAGACAATTCACAACTCATTATCATTGAAAAATATTGTTGTTGACAAAATAACAATACAATATAAATTGTCAATAAATTTTAATTTGACTTTTTATTTATAACGCCAATTTATTTATTTCTTTACCAAGGCCACTCCATAAAAACTATTTTAAAACTATTATCTATTGGTGAATTCATATAGAAGTAACGTTTTTGGTATTTATATTATTCTGTTCATTGGAAGATTAAATTAACATTAGAACAAGTAATGCTGGGACATGGGGAAGAATCCCGGAGGGTAACCAGGAATGGTGTGGTAATATACAAAATTTTAATCAGATATAACCACTTTTTTTATTCCGGGCCACTTGAACACTCCAATTAACCCCCTTGACTAGAACACACATTGTTTACAATTCATTAAATATTTTCATTGATATCATATACCAGGGGTCTCCAAACTTTTCAGTCCGAGGGCCGCATTAACTATCAAATTACAGTTCGGGGGCCAGTTTCTTCCAGGCATGTCTTTGATTTTTCTGGGCAAAGTCCCTCAGCCATCACCAACAAACGATTTTTCCTTGGACAAAAAGATCTACGGGCCGGATGAGAGGACTTCGCGGGCCGCATCCGGCCCGCGGGCCGTAGTTTGGAGACCCCTGTCATATACAATTAAGCATACTATCTTCTCCACTTGTATTAACTTGGACCATTACACGTAAAGGGGATTTTTTGTTCAGTCTCTCCCATGTGTCATTCACAGCTTTTGCTAAACGTTCACTGTCAACTGTTTCAACCACATAAAGGTTTGGAACATCTAAAATGTAGAATAATAAAAATGGAAAGTAATTTTATTTCCTGTTAATTTATTTAGTATATGTAAAATAATTTTTTCAACATGTTGTTTTAGAGAGCTACACTGCTAAAAGTCTTGAGTTCGGATCTGGGTTTAAGTCAGTAGAATGTCACTGAGCCTACACAGCTCTGATGGGTACCTAATTCACGTTAGGGGAAACAAAGACAGCTGGGCATAGTGCTGACCACACTATCTCTTCATATACCAAGGTCTCTGAAACAGAAGCTCTACTTCATCTGCCCCATGTGTCTTGGGCACGAATGGAAAAAGATGACGAAGTAGCTTTTTGTTTTATGAGCATAGACTGGTTTATTTCCAATATTTATTACATTTCTTGCAGTTTCTCAAAACGTTTTTTTTTTTACATAATTTTAATTTTTTTAATCTTAAAAGCTACTTTATCAAATTTTTACTGTAGCAGAGTAACATTGTTTTGAAAAACTACAGGAAAACATATGTTACTTAGCGTAGTTTCGGTTTACTAGAATATTTTTGCCATCTGATGAAGAAAAATCCGAAAAAATGTTTAACAGTTTGAGCATATGAAAAATGTTCACCAATGTCTTCTTATAGTTTTTCCAAACAGCCTATTCTGTAGTTATTCTTTTAAAAAGGCTTAAAATTATAAATGGTTACTGAAAAACAAAATTTTGAGCATAGTATGTAAATGGGTATGTTAACCCCAAAATCTGATCGGCTTCTTACAATCAATCTCTACTTTCTTCATAAACACAATTAAGGATATGTGTCAACTGGTTATGCACCATTGAGGCCATTGACTCCAATTTTAGCCTGCTTTTCTTTTTGGATTTGCTTCCATAGCCTTTGTCCAACCAAGAACAAACTACAAGGCAGCAGTTGTTTGATTTTGCAGTTGTCTCTCCTAGTACAGTGGCTGTCCCCAGCTAACGAGCCTCATCTGCCCGAGGGTTTGAAGTTGAGACTTATTGGTTTAGCAAGCTTGTAGCTTTACCGACTCGACCACGCCGACCCCTCCTTTAAGCTTTAACAATTAACATAACTACAGAAATACCTAAAAGTTTGCCAACTTTGTTTCTTTGCAAATGTCCAATAAAATGCCATTTGATATCTTCACAATGGTCCTGTATCTGCAAGGTACAATAGCATTGTGATATAAATTTCTTTATTTTGATCAGTTTACTAAATCTGCAAAACTGTGTTTAGAAAATGGTTAAAAAGAATACATTAATTTGTGCTTACTTAAAACAAATAGACATGTTTTAACATCTTTAATGTGATCTTTAAAGGAACCTTACTATAATGTGTAGAATAGATAGAATTTCTGTCTCAATAGGTTTGAATGATTTTCTGATTTCTTCTCACCTCAATATCATTTGCTTTTTCATGAAGTTCTAGAACCTGCAATAGAAAGAAAGCATTAGTTTAGTTATAAATAAATTAAGTTTTAAAAATAAGCAGAAAGGTATAGCTTCATCAACCCAATGTAGTAAATATACTAACATAGTTTTCTCCAAAGTGGCGTTGTCCGGCATCATAAGCTTCAATGATCAAGTCTGTGCCTTTAGTTTTTGATACTGCAACAAGACGGGGGTGTGTGTACTGAAGAAGCTGTCAAAAAAATAAAGTTCAGTTCTTTAAGATACCTATGCCGTTATTAATTGTTATTCTTCTAGAACTAACATCTATTTAGATGTATGTTCAAAAGTGTCATCACAAAACGTTCCTAAAACAATTGTACACTTCCCAACAAAAAAAAATGTAGAAATCTAAATCATCTTGTCTTTATTAAGTTATATTGTTAGATGTAGGCCTAATTTTTCTTTCTTTTACATTACAAGCTGAGAATGTAAATAAACAATTACAATCTAAAGGTAATGACATATATATATAGTATAGGAATATCTAGACAATATTTAATTAATATGAGTATTAGTGGATTGTCTTAATTTAATAATTTTTACCCCAGGTCTTCGTGAAGCTGCATTCTGTATTTTGTCTTGAACTTGTTTTAACTGACTGGCTATGGTACTTTTTGTAATACCTGATGACATCTTTCGCAGCATAACAAATTTCTAAATTAGGCCTAAATTACAAAACTAGGTTTATATTAGGTGGATGTAGAACAGATCTCAAGAACTAGAATTTACACTTAATTAGTCAGCCTAATTAATTACTATAAAATATAAGTAGGCCTACACTACTTTACTTTTAGTTTGTTTAATAAAGTTTATTTACTAATTAAATAATTAGGGCCTAATAATTACAAATTTAGATCAATAGATCTAGCCTAAAATTAAAATCTAAAATTTGCAGTAGTATTTTTAATATTTTTAAAAATATAATTATATAGCCTAGGCCTAATCTCTATACTCTATTCATCTCTAGCCTGTACAGTACAGTAGTACACTCAGTGTAGTTTATTTTAGTCTTCGGAGTCTTCTCTGTCTTCTGTCAATATAATGAACTGTACCAATCAGAAAAGTAAGAGACTTAACTTGTTAAGTAATAATAATAGGGCCTAAGTGTAAGTAAAGGATTAATTAATATTTAATACTGGCTTTTAAGGGCCTAAGGGCCAAGGGGGGACCTGTGGACACTGTAGTCAACTTTCTTCAAAAATCATGATTTTTTTCAGAAAAAAAAACTTTTTAAATAATTGGTAAAGTTACAAGTAAAGTACACTAGATCTAGTACCTAGCCTAGATCTAGTAGTCTAGTTATTTAATAAAATTAATATATATAGTAGTAGGGATTTTGGTAAAAAAACACTAATCATCATATAAAAATAAAAATTACATATTCTTGTAGAGCTCAACTATATGAAAACAAAACAAAAAAGATTTTCTGTCTAGCTCAAATAGTTTTTTTTTAGCGAATTTTTTTGTGAGGGGTGGAATGCCCTTGCTTTTGCATTGGCCAATTGTGACAAGTCATGGTATACCTGAATAAATTGAGCATAGTTATTTTACTTGCAGTTGTATTTTGTTCATATTTGCAGAGTTGAGCTAGAATGATATATAGATCTTGTATATGCTGTAAAAATAAATAAAAATAATACAGAAGTATATTTTTGTGTTGGCTTCCTTCCATAACCCCAAAAAAACTGTGCTGCGCAAATATGAAAATGTTTCTAAAGCAATGTTTTACAGTGAATGAAAGAACTACAAAGTTAGCAATCTAAAGTAAATGACTTGAACACTGAAATGTGCATATAACTGCCCCATTATTTTGGGCAGGTGAAGTAGAGTCCATCTTTAAGACATTTTGTTATAAAACTGTGCTGCGCAAATATGAAAAAGTTTCTAAAGCAATGCTTTATATAAATACAGTGAATGAAAGAACTACATAGTTAGCAATCTAAAGTAAATGACTTGAACACTGTAATGTGCATATAATTGCCTTATTATTTTGGGCAGGTGAAGTAGAGTCTATCTTTAAGCCATTTTGTTAAAAGTGAACTGAAGTTATCTGATCAATGTTTTTATGTGTGTATTGTGTATGAATTCTGATTTTCAGCATATAAATATAACTAAGTAAGGGTAAGTAGAACTTGAATACTTAAAATTACAGTTAGCACATAGCTAGTGTAGTGTATTCTAGCAACAGACAGGTAACCTATGTCTGACTCAGCAAAATTTTACTTCAAGCAAAACTAGAACCAGAGTTGAAAAAATGAAAGACAGGTAGATCTATATTAAAATATGTTTAAAACAACAAGTAGGAGATTTGTTTGTACATTACATAAGAATACTGTTGTTAGTGTATCAAAACTAAAAGCTGGCAGATCGGGATGAAGAAATATAACATTGGAGTCAATGGGGGCAACGTGACCTACTTACGGTGACTACTTTCAAATGAGTATTTACTAATGTCAAAGTCAAAATATCCAAAAATAAATATCATTTCTATAAAAATGGGATGTATCTGCTTTGGAAACTTTCATTATCTAAATGGAAACTTTTCAAAAATCGCGTTTTTAAAGCATTTGAAGTTAACCTTTATACCGCGGTAAGACCAAAGCAGAGACAGCATGCAATCAGATCGCTAAGCCATCAAAACAACTGGAAAACCATTCTACTTTTCATTTAACATTAGGAAATGACCTTTTAAACTTAATTAATTACCATAAATTAAAAACTTATTAGTATGCAAAACTAAATCTCGTGCGCCCGGTATCAGAAAGTAATGGGAGATTTCGGGTCATGTTTTTACCGCGATCTCGGCCGATACCGACAAGCCTAATAGTAGCGAGGCTCACTAAATCTTAATTTTAATTATTTATTTTTTTAACCAATACCAATAAAAGCTAGAGATATTTCTCTAACTAACCAGGCACTACATTTGATGATTTTAGCTCATTTTGAACTAAAATACATGATTTTAATTATTGGTGCCATACAGCTTAGCTGGGAAAGATTTTTCCATGACAACCATTCAAAGATCTGGTTCCTAAAGTTGACCTGAAAACGACCAAGGAGGTTCGTAAGGATCATGTGTGGGGAGGGGGAAGTGGAGGTATGCTGCAATAAAACGAAATCGAAAGGATACTCGTAACTTGGTTATGTAATCTATTTACTAGTATTTACTGTATTTCTAGTAAACGCCAAAGGAATGAACCAAAAAAATCACGTATAAATGTTTAAAAATATATTTTAATATATAGATCTAAACTTTTTAAAGGTATTCATTTTCACTTTTATTCAGTCTTGATTAATCAGTGTAAATAGGAATGTTTAATTAGGACAATTAGGCCTAATAATAATAGATTGAGTTAACGGCGGAATCTAACCCTCCTCCCTTATCCAGCATGGAAGCTTTGTCCAGGCTGAGTTTTAAATATTAAAAAAAAGTAGATCTATATATAGACATAATAAAATATGTTTTTATTTTTAAAACTCGTTGCATTAAATTTCATCACATGTGAGCGAGAAATGCATTCCAAACATCGCCACTCATAGGCTGTGCGTAGTGACGGCTCGCTCGCGTTGTTTTGTCAACGAGAGAAACATCGCCCGTCCGAAGCTAGACATATCCAGGCGGAGTTTTAATACTTAAATTTGTATCTAGAGCTGGTGTCTAGATCTATTTAAAGATTGTTAGGCTACGCTTATCACATTAACGTTGATCACTTGTGAGTGAAAAATTATGCAAATTCGTCACGAGCCCGCTTGCGTTCTTTCGTCACGCGAGCGTGTGCGCAAGTCCAAGTACTGTGTCAACTAGATCTAGATCAACTTTTGTTTATGCAGGCTGTCCTCTAATATGATTATTATAATTTATTAGCCTAGTCCTTCTGGATCTAAATCATAATAATCAATTATATAAAAAATGAAAGCAAATGAAAATAATATTAACTATAATTCGATCAAGTCGTAATTAGTAATAATAAAATCAAGTAAATAATTTAGCACCTAGACTTTACTAGACGTATCGAGATCGCGTTTCACCACGAGATCACCGGTTTACGGGCTTTTACAGAAATACCAACTAATTCCTATCTTCCCATGTTCAGATCGAAATACTTAATTAATTTGTCCAGCAATGTAAAAATCAAAATTGGAAAATATTCACTTAACGCTTGTCAACATAAATAACAACACAAACGTAGTAAAGAGTCGATAGAGCCACCTAGGCAAACGTCTCCCGCCCAATAGCGGTCACGTGGGTTATGGAATTTTTACTTTTGGTGGTGACTGTTTTGGAGAATTTTTTTAAAAATTAGCGCATGTAATATTCGATTTATTTTTACACAGACTGCTAAATCTAATATTGATGTACTTTCGGTTTCCGATCTACATCGTAGTAGCTAATATTTAAAAAGATCTACGAATGTTTGTCGGCACCACTTTTTGAGCTTCGGTCTTCATTATCCAAAGCAATTTATAGCGTTTCTCTGGCATATTTAGCACTGCCATTTATAGTTTGTTTACATTATGTGAAAAAACCGCCATTTTTCACGAGGTAAACATTTTAAAAACGAATTCCTAGAAAGTCACTTGGGCAGACAAGAAAAATGTCCGAAACTAAGCGTCCGGTGTAGGACGCCATGTTGTTGTTAGCAACCAGAGACTCTTTCAAGTTAGTGAGCCTCGCTAATATATAGTATATAGATCTAGTACTAACTAATAAATAGTAGTAGTAAGTACTAGTCGTAGTCTAGTCTAGTCTAGTTTATAGTTAGATATAAGTAATAGATCTAGATACTAGATCTAGATCTAGTAGTTAGATAATAGATATAGATAATATTATAGATAAGAGTCTTAGTACGTCGTAGTCGTAGTACTACTAGTACGTACACTACACAATCACTACAGTAGGCATTTCGACTTCCGCTGTTTCGATTCGGTACGACCACATCCTGACTTTTTCACCGTACTTGTTGAAATTCGCCATTTTTTAACATGTTAATTCTCGCCATCGGAATCGAAGAATAAAATGTATTCGATATGAATATTTGAGTTGAATTTCATCTTTTATACATACTAATAAATGAATTAGCTCCCGTTTTACATTGTCCGATACCGAAAGCGATCACCGATAATAGCAAATATTTGTCGAAATGCCGACGCTACTGAACTGGCGCATTGACAACTAAATTTCAGATATAAATAATCCTCTAAATTGTATGACAATAGGCTTAAATAGCGTGCCAACCATTTGGATAAATAGAAATGTCGATTTGAAGGGTTTTTAAGCATGGGCCAATGAGGAGTAGCGCGATAAAACTCGTAGGGGTAGGAACGAGAAAGCGTGCGTAATTTCATAATGGCGGCCGGGTTACGAGATATTAATAGATATGCGCAAACGATGTTTTTTAATAGCTGTTTGTTTTTAAATGGACTGTTACAATAAAATGGGCTTTAAAATATATACTGTAGATCTAAATTATTAGATTAAAAATGGAAAGAATGTAATTAGGCCTAATTGCTGCCTAAATAAATTATAAAATTTTAAATTAGCCAGATTTTTATTAACCTTCTTAATACCAGGTTAACTAGATCTAGCAAACTAGCATTAATGAATTGCAGATAAATAGATTATAAAGGCATTTTCAAGTAGAAAAAAAATCTATATTTATTGTAAACAGTTTAAAAAAAAATAGAATCTAGATCTAAATGGAAATGAAAACACTAAAATAATAATGGGTCTAGAGATGTGTAATAATATACATATATATATATATATATATATATATATAAATATATATAT